ATGAGGTGGAATCATTTGAGTCTAAAGATGAAATGAATAATGTGACACTTGCTTTACGAAACGAATTGAATATGAGCGAAAAATCTTCAACAAGTGAAAGTAATAGTGGAGAAAGTGATAGTGCAGCAAATGATATTGAAGAATGGGAAGAAAAGATTGAAAGTGATCAAAAACTGAAAAAGAAAAAAGAATGCATTGGGTCAAAAATAAATTTGCAGCTCCAGCAGCTGATTTTGTTGACAATATGCCACCACCATCTATTCGTGATGAACTACAACCGATCGACTATTTTTATTGTATATTCGGCAAGCAATCAACAACACTCTTGACAAATCAATCAAATCTATATTCTGTTCAAAAAAATCTTAACAAACCGGTACGTATTTCTGAAACAGAAATGTAACATTTCGTTGGTATATTGTTGATGACAGATATTTATTCTTTTCCAAAACAACGTTATTTTTGGTCTAGTGATACACGTGTTGAGTCTATATCTTCAATTATGAGTAGAGATCGATTTCTTCAAATCAAAAAATATTTACACGTTACCGATAATTGAGTTCAGTCAAATCGAACAGATATAAATGTTGATCGAGCCAGTAAAGTTCGTCCGTTATTAACTATTGTAAAAGAAAATTTTAGGAAAATTTCAAAAGAAGAAAAATTAAGCATTGGTGAACAAATTATTCCATTTAAAGGCAAAAGTATAATGCAGCAACATATGCCGAATAAGCCGAATCGTTGGGGTTATAAAATGTTTCTTTTAGCTGGTGGCAATAGTAGTATATGCTATGACTTTATTTTCTATACAGGTAAAAATGATAAAAAGAAGTATGGATTTTGTACAGATATTGTACTGGGTCTTTGTGAAACTGTGCCACGTTTAATCAATTCCAAAGTATATTTTGACAATTATTTTACAACTATTCGTTGACAGGTAAAGTTGAGAAAGTTAGGCATTTTTGCAGTTGATACGGTAAGACCAAATCGATTAATTGATTTGAACATCAAAAGTGAAAAGATTTATCAAGGGAAGGTAGGGGTACAATGGATCATCGTGTCACAGACGTTGAAGGGGTGCAATTATGCGTGACCCCATGGTATGATAATAATGTTGTTAATTGTCTTTCTACATTGCACGGTTGTGAACTAATTGACTCAGTGCAACGATGGTCATCAAAACAAAAGAAACATATTCTCCTAGAACGACCGAAGGTCATACAGGCGTATAATGCACATGTGGGAGGAGTCGATTTAATCGACATGTTGATTTCTTAGTATCGAATAAATGTTGGTTCTAAAAAGGATTATATAAAAATCATCTTTCATCTTATTGATTTGTGAGTTGTCAATGCATGGTTATTGTACCGACGCCACTTTTGGCAACTAAAGCTTCCAAAAAAGGATATAATGTCTTTATTGAATTTTCGCATAAATATTGCTACTGTTTTACTTAAATCTAGTCCACCACCACTTATCATAAAATGTGGTCGACCATCATTAGAATCAAAATTAAATGAAAATAATTCAACAACAACTTCACAAGCTTCACCAACTTTAGCTCCACTTTCAAGTACACGATTCGACAAATATGATCATTGGCCTACAATAACATAAAAAGGACATTGTCGAAATAATGCCTGCAATGGGTATACAAGAATATCTTGTTCCAAATGTAAAATTCGTTTATGCTTGAACGAAAAAAA